CACACACACACACACACACACACACACACACACACACACACACACACACACACACACACACACACACACACACACACACACANGTTCAAGTACCCGTGCATTTGCCTACGATCCGCCTCGCTTCGCCAGAGAAATTCTCCGGAGAATCTGGAAACTGTCATCCTTTCCTGGTGCAGTGCGGATCGCACTGCACCAGGAAAGGATGACAGTTTCCAGATTCTCCGGAGAATTTCTCTGGCGAAGCGAGGCGGATCGTAGGCAAATGCACGGGTACTTGAACGGGAATATCGACAGACCCGCCCCCCGCTGGACCGGAAAGCTCTGCCGCAGGAACACCAGGATTTGCCACGAGGTGAGTGAGTACTTCCCGCATCTTCTCAGCCAGTAGGTTTATTTCCGTGGACACAGTAGCTTGAAAGTTGTCCTGACGAACATTTAAGCCCTGGACCCCTTGGTTAATTGCTGACAGCTGTTCCTCATGTTGGTGAAGGAGTTTACCCTGCACCTGCAGGGCCGTTCTTAGCGTTGTGGAATCGGCTGAGTCCATCTTGTTTGGTCGGTTCGTTCTGATACGATGGCCTCGTAAGAACTCAGATGCTCAATTCCGTTGCTTGGTAATCTTCTTTATTGTTAAGAAAACCAAAGCTATCAATAATGACTCCTAGGCTCTACTAGGATTCTCCATATAATCACTAGGTTCAACTAGGTACTGTAACATGAATCTCTGGTAAACAGGCATAGAGATAACGACATCACAAGACGAACCGACACCAGACAAAGGGAGAGAAGGACTAAATATACACATTAGGCAATGGGGCACAGGTGGACACAATNCCACACACACACACACACACACACACACACACACACACACACACACACACACACACACACACACACACACACACACACACACACACACACACACATCATTTATGCTGCTCTTATACCTTTATGATCACAGGTATCAATCCTACAGAAACACTGATGTATTGTATGGTGATGTTTTTTTTTGTGTGATACAAACAATATTCATTTTTCAGGATATGCATGAGAAATCATAATTTTTTTTACATATATAACGGGAAAAAAGACGAAACATAACCTGTGAGGCTTGGAGTGTGTGTTTCCTACCTCTTTGGGAGGAAGGGGCCACGGTGGTTCATACTCTTTGCTGAGGTGGGTGTGTTCCATGTTGGTTCCTGCCGATGTGGCAGTGCCTGTGCTCAGCTGGTGCTGGTGCTGGTGCTGGAGTTGGTGCTGATGCTGGTGTTGGTGCCCATGCCCGCCGTGTACACTTTTACCCACTAGGCTTTGCACTGACTTGACCATGTTCTTGAGGTCCTCAGGGTAAGGTGTCGGGTAGCGCTTAAGGTTAATCTCCACCTACACACAAAAAAGTGAATATGTTAGGAAACACAGGTAAAATTACACAAAAACACGCAGCAAGCGTTTAGTAGATATGGTAGAAAATAAGTGTCTGTGAAACGTCAAAACATTTAAATGAAGACATCAATTGTTGTTGATTGTTATGTTGTGGTAGTTTTTCAAATGTGTCATACTCACATTACGTTACTGACAGAGCAATAATGTTTCATACACATACTAAGCTTTTTTAAGTAGGCACTAAACTGAGCATTTCAGACAGAGACACATGTATATTCAGACAGACAGTATGAGTAAAATAATTGTTTTTTTGTAAACTTAAGGCTTGTAAAAATGTCAGGTATTAACTTTGAAATTAGATTTATATTGTCCCAATTAGGAACAGATATTTTGTTATGTATATTTTTGAGTCAAATTCCTTGTATATGCACACATACTTGGCCAGTAAAGCTGACTCTGATTCTGATTAAACATTTGAACTTTGGCACAAAGATTGTCCCTTTCATGTATTACAAATGGCTCTAAATACTATAAGATCCATAAGCTTTAGTGTTGGAAATATGAGATGTAGCATCAGAGATAAAGAAACTCCACCGTTGCCAAATTGATCCAAATCTATTTAAGAATCTAAGAGTGAATTAATAAAACAGTTGGGGGTGCTCCAGCTGCCAGCCGGTTAACGCTGGCTTTGCAGAACTTGAATATAAAGCCCTGATGCCTCATGTAACCCCCCCTGCTCAGATACTTCACAGAGAGAAAGACGGTCAGACAGACAGAAACACAGAGAAAGAGAGCTGACCTTGACCTTCCCAGAGTTGTCTTCCTCTTCTTTCTTGTCATCAAAGTCAAAGGCCACAGTCATCCTCTGCTGCCTCTGCTCCTCCCACAGGATGGGATTAAAGCTGTCACTGTCCGACTGGTAATCTGAAAGCACGACCAAAAACACACACCAAGGACAGGGTTAAAACCGTTGTCAAACATGTGTCTGCAGATTGTTAGACACACACTTACTGTACACACAATTACTTCCACATTCAGCTCAAACGTATATTTACAAACCCACAAATCACACACATTTAGGCCCATAGCTTCAGAGCACATGCTGCAATGTATTATTGTTGTAATATTGCTATAGTGTGATAAAAACAAATCATTCTCTGGGCTTTTGTTTCATGTCTATCCACACACATAGACATACAGACACACAGTTTGTACCCTCATCGTGTCGCGGTTGCTGAGGAAACATGTAGTTGGTCAAAACCTTCTGTTTGGTTTCAGGGTGGGCTTCTGTCTGCAGCGGGATCAGAGCCTTGGACTGCAAACACAGACACACACAGAAGTAGAATTTACCACTTTACCTCATATTCATAAAGGGGAGACACAAATTTGAATTGTGTATTCAATGAGTTTAATAAATTGTTAAATGCCTCTTTAATTTTCATGATCGACTCATAAAACACATTGACTGACATCGATTAAAATAGTAATGTGATATAATAATATATTATCGCATATGTATATATAGCAAATCAAACTACATTAATGCATTGCTGTTTTGGTATATGAATGAAAGAAAACCATTCATTAAACTTTAACACATTCTGCTGGTTCATTTGAATAAAAAAGTGCAAATGACATTGCTTAATGTGAGTTTCTGTTGCAACATTTGCATACTTGAGTGCCAATTTTAAGCAAAAGACTGGACAAACTTTCCTTGATTGCATTTGAATTTCAAATTTTCTTACATCTAGAGCTGTTTAAAAAAGATTGACTTAGATTTCAAATGATCTGACTTTGATGTAACTTTAAATTTGATATGAAATGTTAATATTCATAGTAGTTATAGCAAAATAATATAGAACAATAACGCTTCATACTTAATGCACACCACTGACTGCATCATACAGTAGAGCAGTGGTTCTCAAACTTTTTCTGCCAGGCTCCCCCTTTGGAGAAAAAAAAAGTCGGTCCCCCCCAACACAAATAGTCAGGCTCAGTGGCGGCGCCAGAGATTTATTTTGGGGGTGCTGTGGGGCAGCTTGAAGTTTCATAGAGGGTGCTCAAACATTTAGGGTTTCCCATTAATATACCGGGCGCTACAGTGGAATTCTCTACTGCAGCACTCCCCACACGTACACACAGTGTACCCACGACTGTTACAATGAAGGCTCGATAATCAGCTCACGGCATATAGGTGTAAGCAGGGGTAAAGTGCTATTTTAGACTTTGAGAACCACTACAGTAGAGTGAGATTGTTATCGGTAGTATTTCTGCGTACAGTTAAATGCAGTAAATTATTTAATAAAGCACGTCATCAACTCATCATTTGGCCTCAGAAAACTAAACATGGCCGGCCAAAAATAAAGATAAAGGGAACAGTAAAGATAATTCTGCTAAAGGTAATTGTAAGGTTTTAGCGATAGTATCCTGTTAGCTGTTGTGTTTTACTGTTTTGTATATCTGTCTTTTGATGTTAATTACTCTACTCTCTCTCTCCATGTGTCGGCACTTCCTGTCCGTGTGGCACCTGCTAGAGTGATTGTTGTTCCCACCCCTGATTGTGTCCACCTGTGCCCCATTGCCTAATGTGTATATTTAGTCCTTCTCTCCCTTTGTCTGGTGTCGGTTCGTCTTCTGATGTCGTTATCTCTATGCCTGTTTACCAGAGATTCATGTTACATTACCTAGTTGAACCTAGTGATTATATGGAGAATCCAAGTAGAGCCTAGGAGTCATTATTGATAGCTTTGGTTTTCTTAACAATAAAGAAGATTACCAAGCAACGGAATTGAGCATCTGAGTTCTTACGAGGCCATCGTATCAGAACGAACCGACCAAACAAGATGGACTCAGGCGATTCCACAACGCTAAGAACGGCCCTGCAGGTGTAGGCTAAACTCCTTCTCCAACATGAGGAACAGCTGTCAGCAATTAACCAAGGGGTCCAGGGCTTAAATGTTCGTCAGGACAACTTTCAAGCTACTGTGTCCACGGAAATAAACCTACTGGCTGAGAAGATGCGGGAAGTACTCACTCACCTCGTGGCAAATCCTGGTGTTCCTGCGGCAGAGCTTTCCGGTCCAGCGGGGGTCGGGTCTGTCGATATTCCCGTTCAAGTACCCGACCCGTGCATTTGCCTACGATCCGCCTCGCTTCGCCAGAGAAATTCTCCGGAGAATCTGGAAACTGTCATCCTTTCCTGGTGCAGTGCGATCTCCACTTCAAACACCCCAGACCCGCAGCATTTCAGCGATCCAAGCTAATTAGCACTTTTTATTGTTGTCTCATCTGACGCGGGAGAGGGCGGAAGGCCTGGGCCAACAGCGGAGTGTGGTCATCGCCTGTTTGTCAGTCATTCAGACTGTTTCGTGGATACCCATGAGCAAGATTTTTGATCTGACATCACCCCGGAGAGAGTCACCGAGAGGCCCCTGGTGAACATTAAGCAGCGGCAGAGGACAGTGGCGGATCTCAATCGATTTCCGTAATTTGCAGTGGAAGGTCAGAGTGAGATACTCAGCGGCTTCTCTTTGATGCTTTACCTGCATGGATTTCTGGATCCCATAAAAGGATCAATTGTCCTCAATTAAGCAGCTGTCAACAGATGTGGAGGCTCACTCATCACCATGTCTAACCTCGGGATTGATCACGTCTAGCTGAAAAGAGAGCGGAAAAAAGGGAATACAGAATCCACCTCACCTTTGTTTACAAAATTGCGCGCCGCAACTTGGTGGGCGGATAGCCTGGAAAGCAATTCTCTGCCATGAGACCATACAAGGTTGTGGCGGGTGAGTGTGTGAATGGAGCTGAAATACGTGTGTCTCACTGCCAAATGGCGTGGAGACTTGAGAGCTCTGGGCGGAGGAGGAGTGCGCGGATTACGCAATCGATTTCCGGTGACTGTTGGCAGCGACGTGGGTGGAACTCAGCGGCTTCTTTTTGATGCTTTCCTTGCCTAATGGATTAGCCGCGATCCCATAAGGATCAATTGTCTCCCATTCATATCTGCTGAAGCTGTGGACTCACTCATCGCCAGNTGTGTGTGTGTGTGTGTGTGTGTGTGTGTGTGTGTGTGTGTGTGTGTGTGTGTGTGTGTGTGTGTGTGTGTGTGTGTGTGTGCACACACACACACACACACACACACACACACACACACACACACACACACACACACACACACACACACACACACACACACACACA